ATATACCTGGAACTCAAAAAATTAAATCCACCAACAACAAATCTTCAAAGAAACAACTGCCGAATAAGTAAGTTGGCTAAAGCCTTAAAGAGAAACTTCTCTGAAGAGGAAAGAAGGATAGCCAATAGACACATGAAGAAATGCTCAACTTCTCTAGCCATAAAAGAAATGCAAATCAAAACAACATTGAGATACCACCTCACCCCGGTTAGAATAGCTATAATCAAGAACTCTAATAACAACAGATGCTGGAGGGGATGTGGACAAAAGGGAACCTTACTGCATTGTTGGTGGGAGTGTAAACTTGTTCAGCTACTTTGGAAAGTAGTATGAAGGTTCCTCAAAAGACTTCACATAAAGTTCCCCTATGACCCAGCAATCCCACTTTTGGGCATTTACCCAAATGTTTACAAACAAGACCACACTAAAGCTACCAGCACAACTATGTTTATTGCAGCCTTTTTTTTTTTGCAGCCTTATTTACCATAGCTAAGATATAGAACCAACCCAGATGCCCCTCAGTAGATGAATGGATCAAGAAAATGTGGTATATTATACACAATGGAATTCTATTCCTCCATCAGAAAGAATGACATTGCCCCCATTTGTTAGGAAATGGAAAGACTGGGAAAAAATTATATTAAGTGAAGTAAGCCAGGCCCAAAGAAACATAGGTCCCATGGTTTCCCTTATTTGCAATAACTAGTATATATCCAGCAGAAAAGATCAGATAAGTTGATGTTAGGGAAATGAATTCTAAGATATGTATTCAAACGTTCTTTCTTGTGATTGTTTCGAACATATTTATAAGATGATTTCTTTGTTGCTTTGTATGTCCCTCCCTCATGGTATAAACCCTGCTTTCACTGTATTTGATGTTGGTATAATTTGTGGAGGGGAAGGGAAAAAAAATCATTTAAATAGGGATACAGTAGGACCCATTGCAACAATGAGACATACAAGTCGTTATGCCGAAAACGAACTTTACAACTTTGGTGGTGGTGGGGAGAATGGGATGGGAAGGGGGAAACAAAGAAGGAGCCTACAAAACTTGATAAGAAATGTACTCATTTTCTTGCCCATGTAATTGTAACCCCTCTGTACAGTATTTTCACAGTAAAAAAAAATCAAAGAAAAAAAGAAAGAAAATAGAACAGTGAGACTTGTAACTACTTTAAGAAGGGGACCATGGAAATGGCGCTGTGGCCCAAGTGGTAGAGTGGTAGTCTTGAGCGCAAAGAGACTCAGGAACAGCCCCCAGGCCCTGAGTTCAAGCCCCAAACCAACAAAAAAGTGGCGGGGGGAGAGGAATAGGGAGGAGATAAAGGAGAGTGGTAGAAGGGGGGAGTTTGACTGGGGCACATTGTGTTCATAAATGGAAATGCCACCATGAATCTCCCTTGCGCAATATACTAGTAAAAAAAAGTGTTTTTTAAAAGTGTTACATTGTATCCTTGTTCTCCTGACTTTTCATTCCCTGCAAAACATTTATGAAATTGAAGAAAATGCACTTGACAGCTTTAGTGATGTGGGATTAATCTGGGGAAGAACAAGCTGCTGAGATGCTGACGTTTGAGGTGCAGTTGCCATTGTTTGAACTTGTTAAAACTTTTTCCAGTTGATTAAAATCTTCCAAAATGGCAAAGTACCTATAGGATTATAGCTTTAGAGAACCATACTTCCTGCAGCTACACTTCTGTTTAAATTTTCCTTTTAGTGGACTAACTCCTGTGCTAAAGATACTCTGGGAAATTTGATTCAAGCGTAACAATCCCCTTTAGCTTTTCTATAGGGGTATTTTGTATGTTGGGAGGAAGAGCTTCCTTTCTGAGAGACCTCCATGACTCCTTGGGAGGGTGGTGGTGGAGGTCACATGATAGGGAGGTAGCTCAGGTGACCGGGCATGAAGATGATGCCTTTTACTAGCATCATTTACATGCCAGAAAAGGCAAAAAGACTCCCTTAATGCATGTGATTCTCTGATTTAGGCAGATTTGCAGGGTTACACAGCCATCACAACAGTCTCCATTTAAGAATACTTCTGTCTACAGGTGGACCTGTTGCAACAATGAGAAGTACAAGTTGTCATGCCCAAAACGAGCTTTACAATGTCGGTGGGGGGGGGGGG